AAGGATCTTAATATCAGACCCCAAACTCTTAAGTTGATACAAGAAAGAGTAGGAAATACTCTGGAGTTAGTAGGTATAGGTAAGAACTTTCTCAATGAAACCCCAGCAGCACAGCAACTAAGAGATAGCATAGATAAATGGGACCTCATAAAACTAAAAAGCTTCTGTTCATCAAAAGAAATGGTCTCTAAACTGAAGAGAACACCCACAGAGTGGGAGAAAATATTTGCCAACTATACATCAGACAAAGGACTGATAACCAGAATATACAGGGAACTTAAAAAACTAAATTCTCCCAAAACTAATGAACCAATAAAGAAATGGGCAAGTGAACTAAACAGAACTTTCTCAAAAGAAGAAATTCAAATGGCCAGAAAACACATGAAAAAATGCTCACCATCTCTAGCAATAAAGGAAATGCAAATTAAAACCACACTAAGATTCCACCTCACCCCTGTTAGAATAGCCATCATCAGCAACACCACCAACAACAGGTGTTGGCGAGGATGCGGGGAAAAAGGAACCCTCTTACACTGTTGGTGGGAATGTAACTAGTACAACCACTCTGGAAAAAAATTTGGAGGCTACTTAAAAAGCTGGACATCGATCTACCATTTGATCCAGCAATACCACTCTTGGGGATATACCCAAAAGACTGTTACTCCAGAGGCACCTGCACACCATGTTTATTGTGGCACTATTCACAATAGCCAAGTTATGGAAACAGCCAAGATGCCCCAGCACTGACGAATGGATTAAGAAAATGTGGTATCTATACACAATGGAATTTTATGCAGCCATGAAGAAGAACGAAATGTTATCATTCGCTGGTAAATGGATGGAATTGGAGAACATCATTCTGAGTGAGGTTAGCCTGGCCAAAAGACCAAAAATCGTATGTTCTCCCTCATATGTGGACATTAGATCAAGGGCAAACACAACAAGGGGATTGGACTATGAGCACATGATAAAAGCGAGAGCACACAAGGGAGGGGTGAGGATAGGTAAGACACCTAAAAAACTAGCTAGCATTTGTTGCCCTTAACGCAGAGAAACTAAAGCAGATACCTTAAAGCAACTGAGGCCAATAGGAAAAGGGGACCAGGAACTAGAGAAAAGGTGAGATCAAAAAGAATTAACCTAGAAGGTAACACCCACGCACAGGAAATCAATGTGAGTCAATGCCCTGTATAGCTATCCTTATCTCAACCAGCAAAAACCCTTGTTCCTTCCTATTATTGCTTATACTCTCTCTAAAACAAAATTAGAAATAAGGGCAAAATAGTTTCTGCTGGGTATTGAGGGGGGGGAGCGAGAGGGGGTGGAGTGGGTGGTAAGGGAGGGGGTGGGGGCAGGGGGGAGAAATGAACCAAGCCTTGTATGCACATATGAATAATAAAAGAAAAAAGAAAAAAAAAAAAACCAGCTTCAGTGTTATGTAGCCACTCAGTCCCTCTGAGAACTGCAAGGCAAGGTGTTAGAAGCAGTCTATACTGACATATCCTAAAACACCCTATTGGAAAGAGAATTCATAGAGAGGATCATCCCAGTGAACTTCTGAGATCTGGGGCAAAACAATGCATAAAAACAAGATTTTCAACTTGTAGAAACCCCACATGCACAGTAAGAAATGAGTTAGAGGAGAAATAGAAGTACCCTTTTAGTAAGAAATGCACCATCAACATTTAAGAAAGCAAACATGTGTTGGTTCAGCATGGTCCATTTCACTGTTGCACCAATGGGTGTTTTTCTCTTTCTTTTGTGCTGTTTCACGCATGTTCTAGAACACTGCAAACTCTGAAGACAGAGGACTCGATTCCACAAATACAACCCTCTATTTCTGTGGTCTCTAAGCTTTGCATTGTGCATCACCAAACAGAAAACAAACTGGGCCAGGCAGAGTGGCTCATGCCACTTGAGAGGCAGAGATTGGGAGGACAGAAGTTTGAGGCCAGCCCTGGCAAAAAGTTAGTGAAACCCTGTCTCAAAGAACAAGGTGATTGTGGTAATTCAGGTCTGTAAACCCAGCTATAGGAGAGGTGGAGGTAGGAGGATCATGGCCCAAAGCCAACCCTGGACAAAAGAAAGAGCCTATCTGAAAAATAACTAGAGCAAAGAGAGCTGGGGTATGACTTAAGTTATAGAGTGCTTGCTCCACCTGGCCCTGAGTTCAAACCCTAGTACTGTCAAAAGAACAAAACAAGCAAAAACCAATCTAAGTACACAAGAGTCTTGATACATCCTTATTTACACATACATTTATAAAACATTTTCATTTAAAAAAAATTAACAGGGAATAAATATGACTTTTGACATTTTCTTTTTATGTTCCAAGGACCATTTTCCCCTTCTGACCACCTTGCCTTTGGCAAGGGGGCATCCAAGTTCACTGTGGGTGGACTCTGGGTTGCAGGGCATCTCTGATACTGTTTTCTGTTGCACGTTCTCCAGCCCAGACATTATCTCAACATGATGGATGTCTCAAGCTGCTTCATTTCCCTTCTCATTTCCATATTTCCTCCATTCAAGACAGCCTTATCCATGAGTGTTTTCCTTCAACCTGTTACTTGATGGATTTAACAACCACTGACGAAGCTTTGCTCCACCATCACATTAAGAGTTTCAAAATGTTGATTTTCTAATTTTTCATTCCTTTTGCATTTATTAGCTCTGATTTCCCCATGATTAACAACTTTTGCTCATCAACCATTTGATTATCTTCAAATATAATTTCTGCTAGAAAGGCAGAAAGATCAAAGCTGGATCTTTTTCCCTTTATTTTTCAGAGTAATGAGTCGGTGTCCTAGCAACTTGCAATGGTAACGACTTGCAAAAAGGTGTAGAGTTTTCTTACAGGTGCACCATTCTGGGCTCATTGATTATTTTTCACCTGTTTGATTTCAGTCTACTGCAGTGTTCTTCTGAGGCTCAGACCACCCCATTTTGTGATCCTGTGTCTGTCTGCTTCCTGCTCAGCTTCTTCGCCTTCTGGCCTAATAATCATCTTGAACATTCCCTGCCTCAGACCTGCACTCAGCTATTTATCCTAGGAGGGTCCTTTTGGTGGAAAAGCGTATTTAGGGGATCTAAGTTGAGTGCCAGGCTGCTGCTTGCCTTCACATTTGGTCCTTTTCAAAGTACAGACTTAGGAAGCACTTTATTTTTAAAGAAAAAAAAAATGAGTTCAAGGACATTTCTTATGTAAATTGAAGATTATAAGGTCTTTACTTCAGTTCTGTAAGTACTTCCCTTTTTGATTGACTGAAAAATCCTGGCTCCTACTTTCTACCTGTAACAGTTTCAAATAACAATATAAATATCTTTATGAACATGCAGTCAAAACACTGCTTCCTTATGGTGATATGATATGTATGGTTGGGGATGCTTTGCTTTGAGGTTGTTGTTCTTTTTGTTTGTTTGTTTAAGACATTCCTATGTGCTAAATTTCTCCCTGATTTTTACTGACTTCTTTAACCAGGAAACTTATACCTCTCTCCTAGGTTAACAGAAATTATTCTATGTTTTTGCCTTTGGTTACATTTTAAATAGTGAACTACTTTCAGTTCATACTGCCCATAAAAGAACAAAATAGGTTTGCAGGACTCTGAATTATACCATTCTAACAGAACTCCATACTTTCTGGAACACTCTCCTCTCTAGGCCTGGACACAGGGCACTACTACATCTTGGAGGGCACAAGCTATACCACGTCATGCAGGCAATTTGGGCCATTTTGGACACAGTGACATAAAATGTTTATTTATTTCACTTGACAGAGCACACAGGTCACTTCTTAGGTTGCTGAGAGCCACCTCTTCCCAGTTTCTCAAAGTTGTCCAGCAAAGTCAAACCACAGGCTAACTCTATCATGCCTCACCATGTGGATAGCCATCTGTCATCTAAAATACCAAACATTAGCTTGTTCCTTGAACTGTGCTCCAGAGACAGGTTGCAATAGCAGGATGATATAACTCCAGGAACAATAATAACATTTACAATACACACAGCGTGCTCCCACTAATCTCCCTGAGCTAAAAAGAGCATTTAAACATGAGTTGATTTTTAAAATCTCTTCCCTCGCCAGCTGCATTTCTTCTTAATTCTCCCTTCTCAGACCTAACACCCATAGATTATTCCAATGTGCTCTGTGTGGCATTTACTGGACCTGAGGAGGCAGTCATCTCTGGGTGGCTGCATTCAAGGGGAAGGGCCAACCACACAGGGAAAAGGTGGCACAAGGATCTTGGGTCTTGACTCAACAAAGCAACAGATTGTCATCACAGAAGTCCATTCTAGAATGGAAACCTCTGGATTAAAATTGTACTGGTAGTTTTGGAAAATGGGAATTCCTTACTGTGAACATCCAAATGAACTGCTTAACAAGCCCTTTCATTCTCAGAATAGAACTTCACTTATGACTATGGTGTATTAGCTTAATTAAATAATAAATTTATATTTTTGGTGCAACTTCTATCAAAATTGGTGCTTGGCTTCACAGTCCTCAGGTAATTAGAAACAAGGCTCATGGCAGGTCAATGGAAAGCAACAGACAGTAAGAAATGTGACAACAAAAGAAGGACACCTGCAAATTGCAAGATTCTGAGAGCCTAGCAGTGGGCTAGCAGGACAGCCCTCTGTGCCAGCTTACAGAATAATCACTGAGCCTGGCAGCAATACCACCAAGTCAGCAAGAGAAGCAAAAATGTAATTTTGGGTCTGGTATCTAAAAAGTGAGCAAAGTATGAATCTGAGTTTAAAATAGTTGCATTTAAAAAAGGATAGAGTTTTTTTCTTTAAAAAGTTTAGTCCTTAAATAATTAAGATTTAGCCATTTGGAAAGTGGATTGAGACAGAAGACCTCATTCCTCATTAAGGATGAAGTGGCCTCTACAGCATTGGGGTGGCATGAGGTGGCCTCAGTGCCTGCCAACACAAAGGCCACCCACTGTCCCTTCCCATGTGGTTTCTAATGATGATGTGTATTGAACACTTTTGTCCAGAACATTTTATGGCTTTTTATAAAATGCTCACATGGGCTTTCGATTCCAATTAAAGAAAAAAGTCAATTTTTCCTAAGGAAAAGGGTTGAAAGCACACAGTTCTTCTACTAAGGGTCCTGAGAATCACAACCCAAAATAGAAGTCTAATTAATTCCCCCATCTATCTTTGGTGACATTCTGGAAAGTAGAGGTGACACATGGATACTCACGGAACATGGTATAAAACTGCTGAGGGTTCAGATTCCATTTTCCCCAGGGGGTCTTGTGGCCCTTAGACTGGGCATAATTCGCGTGATTGAACTCTGGTTCAGTACCAAAGGAATCCAGGACTCGGAGCATGCACCTGAAAGAAAAAGTGGCATGTGTGACACTGCAACCTTGACCCCAGAGTTCAAAAGGGAAAAGCTTTAACCCTTTCACAAAGGACTACCAAAAGTGGATAAATACTTCAAGTTAAAAATGCTACTGGATAAGAACAGATTTTGCTTTCTTAAATTTTTTAATTTTTTACAGGACTGGAAAGTGAACTCAGGTCTTCATACACACTAGACAAACATGCTATTGCTGAGCTACGTCTGCAGCCCAAGAGGTTTTCAAATAGCTTGCACACTAAACATCTACATGTGCGAATGGAAAGCCTAAGGCACACATGGAAGGCAGGATTTACTTCAGACTGATGACAAATCATAGGAGATACTGAAATACTAGCAGAATAAAAGTCCCATGAAAGCTGGAACTGGGTACTGTGGTATTCACTGCTATACACTTACATACAGGGCACAGCATGCAGTAAGGGCCTAATCAATAGGTACAAAGAAACAATGAGCCACCATCTCTACTCCACAGGTCTTACTCAGTTTATAGCATAAGGGTATGCATTATCCGTTTTAGCAATTGTTCAACATTTACAGCAACTAGCTAGACTATTTGATTTTAGGTAAAGCCCATGGTACAGTTTGAAGTACTCCCTGAGAGTTCATGTATTGGGAACTTAATCCTCACATTCCTATGTTGATGATATTTGGAGGTGGAGCATTGGGAATTAATTAGGGATACATGAGATCTTCATGGTAGGTCCCCCATGACGCCATTAATGGCTTTATAAGAAAAGAAAGAGACCTGGGTTTGCACGCTCCTGTTCTCTTGCCACGTGATGTCCTCTACCATGCTATGACAGAGCAAGATGTGGCTCTTCAATCTCGGACTTTTCAGCTTCCAAAATGGTGAGAAATAAAATTTCTTTTAATTATAAACTACTCAGACTCAGGTATTTATTCTGTTGTAGCAACACACAATGGTCTATGCTTAGAATCTCATTCAGTAGGCAGTGGTGTTTTTTCACATATTTAATAATAATAGAACTTGATTGCTTTTCCTAGAGCCCAAAGAAATAGAACAGAAGATGTTTTAATTGGCTATTCCACATAGGCCTTAAAACAGCGCCAAATCTGGTCTACCATCTATTTTTGTGAGCTAAGAATTATTTTTACATTCTTAAATAATTAAATAAAAAAGAGGATGTATTTTGACAGATGAATATTATATAAAGTTCCTATCTTTGCATTCAAAAATAAAGTTTTATTTGAATGCAGCCACACCCTCATGCTCCCCTGAAAGCACGACTGCTTTCATGCTATGATTTGCTACTGCAGAGAATGTACACATAGCCTACAAAGCCCAAAATACTTACTAGCTGGTCTTTTACAAAAAAAGCTTTCTTACCATAGTTTGAAAGAACACAAAGAATCACCAACTGGAAGAAGGAATTAAGGAATCAATATTAAAACATAACTTAATGATTTTTGGCTGCACTGATTTAATATTGATTCATAGAATATTCATGTAAACTAAGCTTGTGGTTGGCCAATTAAAAACAGATCTATTTTCTGTTGTTATGCATCAATAATACTTCAGAATAACTTTTACCAATGGATCTATAAACATAAAAGTTAATTAAGATTAAAGCCCACATTTCAGAATCAGGATGATAGCAATGATTTTTAAGGATCTGACTCAGTTTCTTTCCTTCTTTTCTTACTCTTAGGAAGCCATTCTTTCAATTTGTTATTTTCACTTTAATGTAGGATTCTGGGGGGAAAAAAATCCAAATGCCAGAATGGATTTTTTTATCCAGAAAGTACAATTGTAAATTGAAACTTCTGTGTGCCAATTTTTTTTTTTTTTTAACCACCAACTGTCTAGACAAGGAAGAGAAGAAAGGAAAGAGGGTAGGCCATGACCACAGAGTAAAATACAAGCAGACCACAAAGAGAATTTGTTTGGGTTTCTTGTGTGACTTTCACAGAACATCACAGTGGCAATTTTCTTAGAGATGGGATCTCACCATGTTTCTTCAGGCTGGTCTCAACTTCCTGGGCTCAAGTGACCATCCTGCCTTAGTCTATGGAGTAGCTGGGACTACAGACGTGCACCAATATATCCTCACTGGCAATTTTCCTTTTTTTAATTTTTTTTTTTGCTGGTACTTGAACTTAGGGCTTCACGCTTTCTAGACAGGCACTCTTAACCACTTAAGCCTCTCTACCAGTCACCCATTTCTTAACTTACAACTTTTTCCCTTGTGAAATGAGGTACTATAGGAAATGTGTAGAGCCAGTGTACTTTCTACTGAGAAAGACGGTAGTGTTTAGAATGAGGTAGGGATGATGGTGACAGCTCTGCAGAAGGTCCCTGTTAGAGGAGGAGGAGAGGCAGAGACATGTGCTTACATGTGGGGTGTAAAGGCTCAGTTCCCACCAGGGAACCGGAGCTGGATTCACCAGTGTCATTTCATGATGAAAAGGTTACAGCAGCAGGTGTGGGACCAGCAGGGGAAAGGAGCTACCAAGTGGGCCCTGAGGAAACTTTTCTTGACAGATTCAGATACTTCCCCTTATTTGAAATTAACTCTTTCCACCTATATTCTTCTCCAGCTTTGGCTGGTGGCCATATGTGAACCAAGAGCTTTGTTATCATTACTTTTAATGTGGACAATTAAAACACCCTGAAGAGTGAAGGCTCCCGAAAGCCTGGACTTCTGGACACTTCTGACACTGGGTTCTTGGCAATAGAAGACTACCGGGAGCAGATGAATCTCAGAAATTTATAATTCTATGTTCTTTTACTTGAGGCTTTGGCTTAGGCATTGTTTCTTTTCTTGCTTACACAGGTTTGTTTTATAAGCTAGAAGCAGGGAACCGACCTTTGTGTATGATATATCTATTTTGGAATTGTGTTTTTATTAGTATTTATGTAATCTCTTTAATGCCTTTTGTGAGGTTTTCAGGATCAGGAATGGATTAATGACGTAAAAAATTACTTGCCTGGGTACCTGAGGCAGCTGGCCTTTCTCTAACAGGGACCTCGGCAGCAATGCCAAATGACTCTTGAAACATTCTCTTTGCTCCTGGCCACACTAAAACCAAATGGATGCCCATGAGCTCCTTGCCAGGACCTTCCTTCTTGTTTTAGAGCCTGATGTAAAATGTGGCATTATCTTGCATCTTTCTTGTCTGTCCTCAGTGCCTAGTAGAGGCCTCATATGAAGCAAAAGGGATGTGAGTTTTGCAGATCTAGCAGAATATTAGTCACATGTAGGTATACAATGAATGTTTAATTGAAGTTCCTAAGTCCTTAGGTAGATTAGACAGAATTTACAAACATTTTTTCCAGATCCATGCGACTAAAGGTCTGTTCCTAATTGGAAGATCCAATGACACCATATCATATAGTGATTTATACTATTGGCCATCAACCAAAATGAATACAGACAGCCCTGACAGCTTCTAACTTTTAAAGGGGAAAGAAGTGAGCAGGAAAGTTTCTAGAGAATCTGCTGTTTTGAGGAAATTATAGTTTTGTCACAACACAAAAATTCAAGACTAAAAGCACCAAGAGACCTCCTGCCAGCTATTGCTGATGCAGGCCAGTTGTTAAAGAAAGGCAGATAAGCATTACACTGTTCCATAAAACACCTCTGAGGTGGTGCCCTTTCATCCAGTAAGAATAAAATGCCAGCTGGAGGTGACCACTTCAATAACAACATCGCTTTTCTTAATTGATGTAAATACCACTGCTGAGAATATTTTCCCATCCAAACAGCAAGGACAGGAGAGTCAGGGAGGACCGAACATTTTCCAGATGTCTGCCATTCACACAATACCAGAAAACTGCCCTGCCTTCCTGTCTTTAAGGCTGTAGCATTAAAAAAAATTGTATACCTCATGGCTTATTAACCAAGAAGAAAGACAGTTATGTCCACATATCTGAGAACAAATGTGATAGCCTGTGATTCATGAAGCCTTCAAGGAAAATAATAAACTAAGAAAAGGGAAAATATGACGTAAAAGGTAGAGTGCTATCTTGGCTCAACTCAAGTTTTAATTTTACTTTTTTAAAAAAATGTAACTATATCCAAAGGAATGGAAAAGAATATAGAGACTGTGTCCACTCCATCAACAGTCTATTCCATCAATCCCTTTCCCATGAATATTTCATAACCTAATGAGAAAATCACTGCTGCTAGGAAAAAAAAAAAACTGCAAAGGAAATTTTACAGATAATAGGCATTCCTCATCTTCTGTGTTTTTAAGAAGATTCTTAGCAGTTTCAGTTCTCATTTCTGCCTAATTTCTAAAGGAGTTCCAATCCAATGTAATCTTGACAATTAAAGTTAATAATATTAAACTTAACCTGAAAGAGAAAGACCTACTTAAGATTACTCGAATTCATTCATTGGTTAAGTTGAAAGATGTGATGGTTAATCTTGATTTGCAAACTGATTGGATGGAGAAGTGCCTAAGAGATTAGTAAAGCATACCTCTGAGTGTGTTTGTGAGGGTGTTTCCAGGGAGGATTAACTAAGGGGGAGGACCTATTCTGAACACAGGGGCGGCACCATTCCAGAGGTTGCGGGTCCAGAGGGAATCAAGGGGACAAAGAAGGAGGAAGCTAGCTGGTACAGGTTTTTTCATTCTCTCTGCCTCCTGTCTGCCATGATGTTAGATGGTCTGCTCTACCATGGCCTCTTCACCATGTGGACTGAAACCATGAGTCCAAGTAAATCTCTCCTCCCTTAGTTTGTTTGCTCAGGTCACAGTGACATAAAATTGACTGAACACAGAAGACCACATCAAACAGCTCTCTAGGTGGACATAGTGTATACCAGCTACTTGGGAGGCAGAGGTTGGTGGATCACCATCCAAGGCCAGCCAGGGCGAAAGTGTGAGACTCTACCTGAAAAACAAACTGAAAGCAAAAGGACTGGGGTCAAGAGGCAGAACCCTTGCCTAGCAAGCACAAAGCTACGGGTTCAATCCCCAGTACCACAAAAACACACAAAAAACTCTAAATTCTACCTACTAGCATCAGAAAAGAAATACAGTTAGCATTCTCTTAGGAAGTTGGTTTAAACTTCAGGTTAGCATTTATTATCATTGGTATAGCGTTTACGCAGCTGTCCGTATTTCCTCAAGTTTTGTTCCATTTACACTATTAGTCACCTTTTAAGACTTACTTTTAAAGGAATCTTTTATTTGCTATAAATAAAAGCTAGTATTGACTGCAACTAACAGCTGATAGCAAAAAAACCTTCCTAAAACTGTATTACCAGGGGCTGGGGGTGTAGCTCAGAGGTAGAGCGCTTGCCTAGCATGTGAGAGACTCTGAGCTCGATCCCCAACACTGAAAAAAAAGTGTTACTAAATTCAAAATAGGTGCTTTTGCCTACTGAAGGCTGACACATACAGCTACTCTTACTTCATTAAAAATATAAGCAAGTGTTCAAAGACATGTTGGAGATACAGTTTATGGTAAACTTTGTTTCTTTTCAGAAAAACTGACAGTACAGTGAAAAAAATAATAAACCTCATGGTATTTATTTCCATTTTTGTGAACCACACAAAATTGTTTCAAACACGAAATCATAGTCCCAAACTCACACCTGGGGAAACACTGAGCTGTTCTAAATAATGAGACACTGTGCACAGAGCACACACACGCTCTAGTTACATGAAGCATAAGCTTATCATAAAAAGTGCAAAATCTCAGTATTCATACCAGGAATTTCAGCCTTTCCTCCCAAGAATGACAAGAATACTGATGAGGGAAAAGGTAAGAGAAATGAGATATCATTTCGAACCTAAGGGCCACATGAAATGACACTGTCCATATTTTGTCAAAATATGCTTAAACAGATGAGGCCAGTGTAGGCACACTGAGCGGGGGATGCTGGGTGTTAGGGAACATAACAGGGAGGTTGGGTACTTGTTTTCTATTCTCAAGACATCAGTGAAAATAATGAATAACTCTAGGAAGCAGAAAATCACTGTGGAGAACCTGAATTTCACTTAGAAATGAGAAACACATTCCATACAGTTCAAAAGATAATATTTAATCATCTTTTTCTACTTGTAACCACGTAGTCCTTGTTAGGGTTTAAAAAAAAAAGCACTAAAAACTTAAGCAAGAAAAACCTGTAGCACTTACTGGTAATGAACCCAGGATGGTCCCAGAGTTTTCTTGAATTGAGCCAGTCCTACAATATCGATATAAATGAGCTCAACGATTCTGTCACCTATAGTTGGGCAACCAGACCGGTTTCCTACAACCTTCTTCATGATTCTAGAAAAAAGGCAGACGAGGGAAGGAAAGAAACCATTAACTTCAAGATTAAATAGTCACCTTAACATGGCAATTTTAAAAAGGCAAATAATCATCCAAAAATAAATTAATAGAGAGCAAGGCACAGCCTCCACAAATATGCTGTGTAGCTCAATTCTTTCCACCCATCAAGGCCAGCCACAGCCCCCATTCTGACTCCTACAAACAGAAGCAAATGGTGGTATATAAATATAGCCCTTAAAGTCAACAAAGAGGTAGGTCTGAACCCATCTCCACTGCAGAGCAGTTGCAAGACTTAAGACAAGTTTATTTCTCTTAATCTTTCCTCATTCTCCAGAAAAAAAGACCACATTCACAAAAAGATGATACTCTTCTTCTTACACATTCTTACCACTTACCTGACCTGCCCTTTCTCAGCATCTTCAGTTTCTAGCCTCCACCTTGCTAATTGCTTTCTAGACAGTCTTGTATAGTTCCTTAAATTTTTTTCTAATGTCACACTTCTTAACTAGACTGCATTACAAAACTGGCACTACAGCTTATATTTTCCCATTAACTTTTCTTTTACCTCTTTACCTACCCTTCCACCTTGACCACTCTTGCTTTCACAGAATGACAACGCACTTGGCTGCTATACCAACTTTGTGTGTAGAAAGAAACACAAAGCCTAGCGTTATCCACCCAGAAACCAGTTGCCTCTTATCCCTGCTCACACCCAGTAATAATCCTTCATCAATTTATGAAAATCCTACTTCAAAGGACAACAGACAAAAACAGGCCTCGGCAGCTCCATACTGCCATTGTTTCCAGCACCTTCTGCCTTTTTCTGAGCTTCTGAAAGGCCAGGTTTGGAAGAAACAACTTCTCTCTAAAAGTCAGAATGGTTTCTCTGTGAGGGGCCACATAATAAATTCTTTCATCTTTGCAGGCCATACATTCTCTGTCACAATTATTCAACTCTGCTACTGTGGGATGAAAGCAGTCACAAATAATAAGTAACCATGGGTGTGGCTGTATCCTGTGAAACTATTTACAAAAGCAGGCAGAGGGCTGGATTTGGCCCACTGAGCAGCAAACTATGGTTTGCTGACCCCTGGTCTACCCTGTGTTCAGTGGTTCCCAAACTCAACTGTAAAATGGAATTAACTGGAGGAATCACAAAATACTTAGGGCTGCACGCTCCCTCCAGGTGTTATGATTTAATTAGTCTGGGAATGGTCTGCATTTGGGGATTTTTAAGGAAAGCCTCAAAACATAAAAAGTCCTCAAGTGCTTCTAATGTGCAAGTGTATTTGGGAACTGTTGTTTCCATAATTATCTCCTTAAATAAAACATCTAACCCTGACCCCAATGTGCATAAAGACTGCTACTGACTTTCCCTTGACTATCACAGGCCTTACGTTATGGTACTCCATTTGTCTATCTACCCACTCCACCCATTCACTCACTTCTGCATCCCCCTCTCATTCCTTCAATGTTGTATGAGCAACCACAGTGTTCTAGGCATTTTCTCAGTGTGAAATACACAGTGGTGAGTAAGATTCAGTTTTCTGCACTCCGTGTTTACATGCTAGCATCCATACTTCAATTATCACTAATAGAATTGTAATTAGTATAATTATTATTTAATATATTAGTTGTAATTGTCAGAAGATTGGCAGCTCCTTAACCACATGCTGGTCATCTCTGTAGGCCCTGAATCAAAACCCAACCCACAGCAGGCAGAGTGAGCGAGTGCTAAGTGTATGAAGGTGCTCATCCAACAGGTTGTGTACTGGAAATGTTTTAAAGCATGCAGGAAGAAGGCAACAGAGACAGCCTGGTAAAGAACAGGAGTGATGATAAGGAAGGTTCAGATGACCTCAGGCTTATGAAGCTTTGAAAGGACCGACGTAGAGCCATGGTAAGAGCCTGCTTTGAAGTCAGACACAGGGCTCAAACCCCGGCTCCCTCACAACTATCCCTGACACACCTTGGGCAGCTCACAATTGGTTTAAACCTCAGTTTCTTTATCTTTAAAATGCAGACAGCCATAGTACCTACTTCTGTATACTAAGGACTAAATAAGATAAGACACATAAAGGGTGTAGTTTCTGATGCACAGTAAATGGTTCACAAAGGTTAGCTGTTAATAGCCATCATCAACATCATGGCTGTCATAATTTTGGTATTACTTTATCATGGTACCGGCCATCTGGAAATCGTTAGCAAATGATAGCTGGCGTTTTCTCACTGACATTGTGCTTCCACCAACCTGATGTCAATGTCTTGCACAACACAGTAGGAATGGAGTGGAAAATATATTTATTGCTTTAATAACTCTTCCATCTCTAGAATATTCCTTCCAGTTACTCCTAGAAATACTTGACATTGCAACATGACACTTGGGTGCTGGGTAGGAAGTCTCTATAGGCAGGGATCCTGGTGTGAGGAAATCTAAATGTTCCTGCTTGGTCACCTCTGTCAAGCAAAAGAGACTGGGAGAGTGCTACAGCTAGATGCAGATTTCAGTGGAACAGAAGACTGAGGAAGAGTTAACAGACTGAGCTGAAAGTTGGCTAATTGAAAAAAGATTGGATCAGGGCTTCCAGGAAATTCATTTTACCCAAATTAAATTATAAACAGGAACCTGTCCTGTTTTAAAGTTTAGAATGCTTGGTGTTGAGTAGAGAATGGTATGAATTTCAGCAAGAGACAGGGAATTAGGAAAGTCAATAATGTTTTGTGCCGCAGATGCTGGAAGCACCTGTAACAGCAAAGAATAAGCTCCTTAGTTTGAATTTTCTGGCATTCATTTATGAAGCCTCAGGAGCCTGCAGCTACAATGAAAACATATTATCCTTTTCATAGTGTATGTATTTAGCTCCTGAAAATAATCTTCTTATCTTCTGTTTAGTGAATTATCACTTCCCTTTTCCACCACAAGAAATTATACACTAATAGAGGGCTTTAAGAGTCTACAATTTCTTTTTTTTATATTCTGATTTTAAAATTGAAAAGTAATCTCCTTACTCCTTCAGCTCAGCCAGTGAAGCTGAAATCCTAATGTCATGGCCCAGTAAGTACAGAGATGTAATTAAATCACTCCACTGAACTAGTTCACCGAGAGGGCCACCACTGAATGCCGTCTCTGCGATCTTAAAGCCAGATTCCTTGGTCAGGAGTCCCAGGTGAACGAGGACCTGGAAAACAAAGAAGAGGCACAGATTTGATTTCACTGACCCAAGTGCAGTGTCCATAGTAATGCACCAAAAAACAATCAGCCAATTCTAAAGTCATGTTTATGTCCTAATGAAATCTCAATGTGGGCTATGCTAGTTTTCTAGACGGTACCAAAAAAAAAAAAAAGGAAAATTTTGCTGTTTTAAAGAAAAATAAACCATTACTGCCCTAGGTATGGCCATGAGCATGAGGTATGGGCAGATTATCCTGCTCTTCAAAAGATGAAGTTTATTAGTAAAATCAGAATTAAAGGAAAGCTATCCTTTAGCAATACTGGGCTTTTTTCCAAAGCTGGAGTATTTTAAACCTTTACCATGGAAAATTTCAAACACACAGAAAATCAGATATGACAATATAGTCAACTCCAGCAGATTTGCTAGATAGCTTCAACAATTATTAATTCATGACAAATCTTACTGAATCTATACCCCCTTTTATCCCAACCCCACTAAGGTTATTTTGAAGCAAATTCTACGTATCATATCTGTCCTCTGTACATAGTTCAGTATGTAATTCTAAATGAAACAAGCCTTCACTTAAAAAACACAGCTGAAACATCACTCTTGTCCCCAGACAGGCTAATAACATCATCTGATATCCAGTTAATGTTTGTACTTTTTTAAAGCACAGTTGTGTAATTCTGAAGTCAAAGTGTACACATTACAACTGTCTCCTATCTCTTAGCCTCCTCTCATCTCTGTAATTCCATACTGTTCATTTGAGGAAAGGGAGGTGGAGTACAACTAATTTATCAAAGACACTGGGCTATACTTCTAATAGAGTCTCCATACTCTGTATTTTGCTGATTGCAATCCCAAGAGATTATAAAACGGGTTATTCTATGCCTTGTATTTATGGTAAATTAGTAATTAGATCTTCAGATGTAATCAAAATTCAGATCCAGTTGTTTTGGCAGTACAACTTTACAGGTGGTACTGTGTACTTCCACTGGTCGGAACAATGTTTGGGGGGCTGAAAAACAATGATGTTCTATAATTCTCTCTTTGTTTATTAGCTAGAATACTTCTCTAAAGAGAAACTACCTTACGAAAACTATTTGCTTAGAATGAGACTGGTAAATACTTAATTTTTTTCTTTACCAGTTTTCAGAATAATAAATTTTTAAAGCAGGTTCTAACGCTAATCCATGAGGTTTGGTTTGGTTTTGAAATATTATACAACCACAGATGCAAGCATGCTTCGTGTGTTTCAATAAATTATGGTTATTACCCTGACTATCAAATTGCCCCAGCTTGGTGAGTGGAAGGCTATTCAACTTAGCTCCTCAAGTCTTTGGGAAAAAAATCCTAGCAGCCTTAGTAACTTCTCTGCTCTCGGGTATGACGAGATGCTCTGAGCTCATCATGAACAATTTCCATCTCAGACCTTAATGAGTCATTTTCCAAGAACCTCTTATACCACCTAGTGGAAATAGCATTTGGAGATCAAAGCGTAGAACTTAAGGGACTCTAGTTAATCACTGTTTGGAGGCTTTTCAGTGGCCGTAGCTAGGAAATTTGCTTTTCCTCAAAGATAAAATAAGTCGTGAGTTCTTACTCATGAGTTGGTACTTCCAATTCAAACTTAGGATTATATTATTTTTTTGTAACATTTTTCATCTTACATCTGCTTTTCCTCTCCCACAATGAAAATCCCACTTCTCAAAGACACTAACATTGCTGTTTCCCAAAATTCATAATGGATTCAGAATGAGAATATCAATACTTCTACGTATTACAATGATAAGAATTATTTTAAAATGTCTTTGCGGTTTTGTCCTCTGTGATATCCCATTTGAAATGTTCAATTTATTTTGTTATAGAGGCATTAACACTAGTCCTTTGTGTGTTTATATCAAAATTGGATAGACATTTAGTCAGTTGATCTTTTTTTTTTCCCTTATGGTTTCTAGGTATGGCTTTTTAAACTTAAAATTTCATACTATGTAAAATGGTACAAGTGTCAAATCTACAAAGCATTACATATTCAGAGAAATCTAGTTTCTATACTTGTTGCCTTCATTCCATTCCCTCCTTCCCCTCTTTGACCATTTATATTTTTTTCTTATTATGGTAAAATATGCATAAAATAAAATGTATCATTTTAATATATGCAGTTCAGTAGCATTAAGAGTATTCACATTGTTATGCAACCATCATTGTTATTCATCTCATTGTTTTTTTTAATTTTTGAGACAGAGTCTCATTATATAGCTCAGGCTGGCCTGCAACTCATGATCCTCCTGGCTCTGTCTCCCAAGTAAAGAGATTATAAGCATGTACCACTATACCTAGCTCCATCTCCTTTATCTTTCAATTCATAAAAATATGATCAATAAACATATGTATATTATTCATGAATTATACATGTAGGTAGGAAGAGGTTTATATGTATACACATAGATATAAAATTCCTTTCCCTTTTAATAATGGTCCTTTTTAAAAATACTCTCCACCTAACTTTTTTTCACCTGATGATATATCCTGAGAATTAACTACACAGGACTACACAGAAACATTCTTTATTTTTATAGCCCACCTGTAGCATCTGACCATCTGTTTCTCCATACACAACTATTTGATGCCAGAATGTTTAGTCTCACTGTCTCACAAACTGAAGCTATCTAAGCAAAATTGATATATCAAACTGTGCTTACAGTCTTGCAACATGTACCTATATTTTCTTTTTCAATGATATCATATTCACCAAATAAGGAGTACTAAACTTACTTCGAAGTTCTTTTTTAGACATGGGTACACATTGTTCATTTTGCTCAGTTATGAACTCAGAACAGTTAATCAAAGCCATGTTGCTTAATCTACAACTAAAAGGGTAGAAGATCTTCTAAGACCAGGGACATTCTAGAGGGTTTCTTTCCAAGCGTGTCTCATGAATGTAAACTGGTTCAAGTTTAACAAAATCCCCCTCTCCTAGGTACATACACAGAAGCACCACTCAGAGCAGCAATGGAATTCATAGGCTTCTCAAACAACAAAAATGTGAAATTACCATGATGACAAGAAGTTCCCAAAGGTTTGACTCAGGTAAAGAAATGGGGAAAGTCTCCTAATACCCTGAGAGAAAAATCAGGTGGTTTAAAGGGAAAATCTTGGGGTGGATATTTTACTCACCTCCATCCAACAGATTTGTGCTGGTCCTTGATAAATGAGAGAGTGTACTGTGGGAAAGAAAACCCCAAAAGGGTGCACAGAAGCTGATGGGATTCTCCCTCAGGGAAGCTCATTTGAGACATGACATTTTTCTTACTCTTCTTTCCAAGCAAAGGCAAACTTTCAACAGAAACCTAGCATCTAATAGAACTGAATTAAGATGAAACTCACTTTCTTCCGCTTTCTCTTTTCAAGATTCTGCTTTTCTGCCAGAGACTTGATTGCCTGGATCCATGCATCAGCCATTCGCCGGATCCGTAGTCTCATCCACCGGAATTCTTCATGTTTTTTCATCATACTGTAGAGAATATTAAAATCTGTCCGAATTTCTGCCTAGAAACAGAAATTTAATAAAATGAATAGAAGATAAAAAGCCAGAAAGCAAAATGGTTTTCATGATGTGACATTTGAAAACCTGAAAGAGACAGTCAATTAAATTCAGGGCTTCAAAAGGGAGTCTTGTCTTGCTGTATGCTTTCACTTGCAGGTCCTAGGATTGCCAATTGAAGCAGAGGCCCCTGACCGCTAATCTGTTATAAGGGACATCATTAAAAAATTAGAAATTGAGGAAGGCAGTACAAAGCCCTGAGGCTCTGTTAAAATGCAGTTTTTACAATGAGTGTGCTTGATGCACCTTGAAATTCTCTGTGCCAAAATTTATTTTGTCACTTGGATCTTCTGCTAAGCAGCAGACTACTGGGTAAACTGAAGTCAGCTCTGAACAGGCTTCCCGACTCCATGTAAGTTGCTAACGGGCCTTTCTATCCAGATATAAATGGGGAAATATATGCTATCTTCTAGACTTGTCCCAGTCCAAACCAAAATTTACAATTTTCCAAGGACTTTAGAACCAGGAATACTATTTTTTTCTAAACAACTGAATACAATTTAAAATTCAGTCCAACCCTCTTACACTGTTGGTGGGAATGTAGACTAGTACAACCACTCTGGAAAACAATTTGGAGGCTACTTAAAAAGCTGGACATCGATCTACCATTTGATCCCAGCAATACCACTCTTGGGGATATACCCAAAAGACTGTTACTCCAGAGGCACCTGCACATCCATGTTTATTGCGGCACTACTCACAATAGCCAAGTTATGGAAACAGCCAAGATGCCCCAGCACTGACAAATGGATTAAGAAAATGTGGTATCTATACACAATGGAATTTTATGCAGCCATGAAGAAAAACGAAATGTTATCATTCGCTGGTAAATGGATGGAATTGGAGAACATCATTCTGAGTGAGGTTAGCCTGGCCCAGAAGACCAAAAATCGTATGTTCTCCTTCATATGTGGACATTAGATCAAGGGCAAACACAACAAGGGGATTGGACTATGAGCACATGATAAAAGCGAGAGCACACAAGGGAGGGGTGAGGATAGGTAAGACACCTAAAAAACTAGCTAGCATTTGTTGCCCTTAATGCAGAGAAACTAAAGCAGATACCTTAAAGCAACTGAGGCCAATAGGAAAAGGGGACCAGGAACTAGAGAAAAGGTTAGATCAAAAAGAATTAACCTAGAAGGTAACACCCACGCACAGGAAATCAATGTGAGTCAATGCCCTGTATAGCTATCCTTATCTCAACCAGCAAAACCCTTGTTCCTTCCTATTATTGCTTATACTCTCTCTACAACAAAATTAGAGATAAGGGCAAAATAGTTTCTGCTGGGTATTGAAGGGGGGGGAGCGGGAGGGGGTGGAGTGGGTGGTAAGGGAGGGGGTGGGGGCAGAGGGGAGAAATGAACCAAGCCTGTATGCACATATGAATAATAAAAGAAAAATGAAAAAAAAATAAAATTCAGTCCAGAAGAATATTTTTTTTCTAATAGTCAGGATTATATAGCTAGATACAACCTGTGATTAGAAGAGAGAAATAAGATAATACCAGTGTTTATTTCACAGGACACCTCAAACACACTGAGTTCATTTTCCATCAGTCATCACAATTTATTCTAAACATTCATCTTCCTCCTTGACTCCACAATTTCCCGAGGGCTCCATATCTACAGCCCAGGTCAGCAACTATAGTCCTACAGTCAATCTTCCTCACTGTTTTTGTGCATAAAGTTTTATTGGAACACAGCCATGACCTTCATTTACATATCATGTATGGCTGTGCTCTGCTAGAACAGCAGAATTCAGTAGCCCCCACAGAGACCATATGTCTTGCAAAGAGGAAAATATTTACTATCTGGTCTTTTAAAGAAACCATTTGCTGATATCTGGTCTAAAGAATAAAGACTGAGGTGGCACACAAAATTTTTCACAGTTCCCTTCCTACCTTTCCAATCTCATCTTGAACCCAGCTCATCCAAAACCCTCTGGCTTCACCCACTGGGCCACACCCTACAATACCAAACACTCACTTCCCATAGCAGAGATGTTTTTTTCTTGCTGACCTCAGAGAAAGTCACTCATAATCTTAAATTCAGCTCCAGTGTCATCTTCTCCATGCAATCTACCCTGACCTATGTAGGTTGAGACGGCCTCTTCCTCATTAATTCCCATTGGCCTGCATTAAAGCCTTGTGACAAGCATGGCCAATATTTACCATCAACCCTCCCCCCAGCTGCATCACCCTCCCCATATCTGATACCAGGTCTTACTCCTATCAGTAGCCCATCATTTAGTGACCCTCAGAGAATCGCTGAACAAAAAAATCTATGCTAACTGGTTGATAGATTTGGTCACTTAGTCCTCCATAGGACTGGTTCTTCCATTGAACGTTATTTCACATATAGCTAGCACCTTAAGACTCCACATGTATCACTTGTCATTTGACCTGAATACACAAGTCTAGGAAGAGATTTTTCAAAATCATTTACCAATGAATTATGATCAGCTTCTTCATAGGGATTTTTTGCTCTCCAAGGTAAATGAGGACACCAATTTTCAACCTGAAAAACATAAATCAACAACACTAAGTATGCTGATTCATCTTCAAATGAATTAATGTATGGCAAAGGGCTGGGAACAGTTTTAATGTGGGATATTCTCATTAATCAGCAATCCAGATGTAAGTGCCCTCTTAGGTGAAGCATCATCAGCAAAGGTGAGAAGGAGCACATGACTACACTTTCCCTCTGTCCTACAAAGTACTTTAAAGGTACTGAATTCCATAAGCATTCTATGCTCAGAAAGAGGGGGGCTTACAGCAGAAAAGTTAAAAGACTTGAAAACTGCTACAAGGGTGCCTCTGTACCCATTTAGCAAGCAGACAGGAATAATTTGTTATCTGCTCTGGTGTGCAGGGAAAGGAACTAGGATGGTATTTGAGCCACAGAACTCCATCACTGATCTGAGTAATTTAGGAATGCAACTGATATTTAAGGCTAATTGGTAATTTTCTGGCTATTTACTCACATTATCTCAAGAAATAAGGTGGGTAAACTCATTGGAAGAATAGATGAAAGGAAAAAGGTGGAGTGGAGTTTCTTGGTGATCTTGTGAGAGCCATTCTGGACAATTGACTGTTCTGTCAATGTACAGGGGTTTAGAGAGATTGTGGGGGTGGGGAGAGAAAGGAAAAAAGTGCCACATTTTGTAGGTAGTACTTCAATGAAGGTTATCAAAGAAAATTAGGCAAATTAATAATTTCTCACAAAGGAAAAATGAGAAATGATACTTTCTCATTTTTTTGTCTAAAATAGCCACAAAATCTTAAGATAACATCATTATCCATTTGCTAATACATAATGACACTATTAAAGATGGCTAACAAACATGCACTGATAGTACTTTTTCCATGATCAAGTGGGCGTCCTTGGAGGGTCACCAAGACAGCAGGACTGTGTGGGGGCCACAACCTCATCAGTCAGCAGAGCAACCAGAAAGGGCGATTTGCTCTCTAGGTCTGGGTGAGCTTTTAAAGAATCATGTCAATGTCACTAATCTAGAAATTTCTCATAATGCAAGGTGATTTTTGTTATGACCAAAAATAATTGGCCTGATTTGCATAAAGCCATCTGCCACTGCGAATGATCTGAAAGCAGTAAAGCCAAGAGCAGCGGGGCTTAGGGGAGGTCAAATCTCTAGACAGAAAACATGTGACATCTTCTTTTCTTCTTGTGAAATAAAATTAGACTTTATGATATTTGTGAATGACTTCAGAGATTCAAAAAACACTTCCCAGAAGAAAAGGTGAAATTGTTTCTTAGAAGAAATGATAACTTGTCTTAGAGGGCCGTGGTCTAATTACTGGGACCTTTGGGCAATATGACCATAGCAGGCAATATGTAGCTCCACAAATGAGAAAACCAAGAAAGCAAATGGCAAACAAGGCGGCTCAGCTGGTCCCAGCCGCATCACAAACACCTGTATTCCTCGACCGGATTGAATTATTTAGCTCCAATCAAATGGACTCAGTAAAATATCCCTATAAAGCATATTTATAACATGAAGGCTTCAAGTGGTTCCCAGACTTGATTGTGGGACCTTCAACCAAGAGCATGATGGGAAAAGAGGAAGCAAGACTATGCCAAAAGAAAACACATTAGTGGGGCCAGATATTGACAAAGGCAACTACACTCCTTCCTTATTCTTCTACCCCAAGAAGAGTTTTACAAGATTCACACTGATGAACATATAGTCCAAGGTCATCTAAAATACATGGCTTCCCTACAGAATCCTTAAGACTGCAATTCCTCTTTGAAACTGATCATTTATCTTAGTTCTTCTTACTCCAAATCACTGGATGCTACTTCACAAGGCTCCAAGAGCATCCCTGAAAATATGGAAAACAGGTGAACCCAAAATGGTGGAAAAATCTATGGTGAGATTTCAACACAGAATGGGAGGATGGGTTTAAGGTTATTTTTGTACACAGTGACAGAATAACTGGTTAATGAATTAATTATATGTAAGCCTATTACCCTATGGGGAGAAGAGAAAATGAAAACAAAGAATTTCTTTCCTCTGGAAACCTCAGAGGGTTACCAGGACTAGAAGAAAGCCAGCCCTGGCAAGGACTCCAAACACCAAAACAAACAGCCCTCCAGTGAGCAATGCTTTCCCAAATAAGAGTGCCATTAATGACATGCTGGGAAAATCTTGCTCATGGCTTAGTAACTTAACCTCCCAACACCTAACTTCATTTTCTGTCCGATCTGTCCAGGATCCATTAATGAGTTTCACCCATCAGTATAGCATCTTACCAATAAGGCTGACCCTGGGAGGACCCCACCACCTGCCTGACTTGGAAGCAACCCTGTTTCAAATCATTCTGAGTAGTCCCATTTCTCCTGGCTGGCAGAACCCCAGGGTCCTACATCTGCCTGAGGCCACCTTCTTTCATCCACTGCCTCAGCCACATTTTTCCAGCTGGGTGCTTGCCCTCAGTGCAGGGACATCCTGGACCATCTCCTCACACACCCCTGTCTACCCCCACCTCTGCCCAACTTCTTTGGCCTGGGCAAGCAGAGAAGGGACTAGGAAGGGACTGCACAGCTCTTGCCACCTCTCCCAGTGATGGGGTTGTTTCCCAGGACCTGGCACATGGTAGCAATGCTCTACCACTGAGTAACACCCCCAGCCAGGACCACGTATCTTTAACAGCAGCCTATAATTTACCACAGTAAGTTCAAAAATTGAAAACCAACGGAATTCATTGTAACACACACACCAACTGAGAGAGGAGCAGAGTCATCACTCTAATAACCTTCAATTTGAAGGCAAAAATCCCTGGACATGAACCAATCCTCTTAGTGCACCGGTGCTCTAGGCCACAAAATGAAGGAGCGGCAGCATCAGACAGAGACCAGCCACACTAGAACATGGGAACATTAATGCATATTCCATGGAGAGGGCCTCATAAATCACTGCGCTTGAGTGAGGAGATATAAAATAGAACAATTTGGTTTCTCACATTCCTTCTGCTGGTGATTTAACTTTCTCTGAACTAAAAAGCTTTTGTAGCTTAATCACAAGTATTTTGAAAAGAAAAAAAGCACTCTTTTAAGTCCCTAAAAATTCTAACTGGGTCAGACTTATTTTCAAGGCTTATAGGATGGACTATTCACTATAGTTCAGGAGAAAGAAATCGCTGGTGGCTAAACAAACAACTCAATTGGAGTTTAGGAGGGATGAGGAAGTGACAGAATTGTTGCAAAAACCAATAGGAGACTCAAGGCATATATGCACATAGGGCACAACTCTGTAGTAAGTGATTTCTGTTCTTTTGAAAAACTAACAATCAGAGGTGGGGACTCATGCCTGTGATTCCAGATACTAGGAGATGGAGATAGGAGGACCACAGTTTGAGGACTGGGTAAGGGAAGTTACCAAGACCCTACTTCAAAAAGTGAGCAAGGCATGGTGGCTCACTCCGGAAATCCCAGCTACTCAGGGGGCAGAGGTAGGAGGATCATAGTCTGAGTACTGCCCTACCTGAAACAACAAACTATAGCAAAAAGGGTAGGGGTAGACCACTTGCCTGGTAAGCAGAAAGCTGAGTTCAAACCCCAGTATTGCCGAAGAAGAAGAAGAAAAGTAACAATAAGCTTGTTAAGGACTCTTTTTTCATTATTACTGTGAAGTGTTTTGTTCTAATGGCTCTCTAGCTATTCACTTACACACATACAAGCACACAGTTGTTAAACTAATGATATAGTGAACGAAGTTACTCAATGAATATACTAATTTTTTTTTAAAAAAGGCCTTCTATCATAAACTGTTTGCCTACTCCACTTTCTAAAGTTTCAAAGGAAAAATACAAGTGATAATGACTCCTGTAAATGGTGAGTGGCTCAGCTACCTGGACACTGTTGTTGATTAATATTTTGGTCTACTTGCTTCTTGAATGGTAACACATGGGAGGTGTAGGAGTCAAGTGCAAGGGGAAGCCCTCTCACGCATTAGTCCACTTGGTCTTGGAAAGACTGTCATGCCAGATGAAGACACAGAGACTGGACGTGACCAAGGGCAGAACCATGACCTCTCTCTCCTGCCCCAGAACTGGTGCATTTAGCACTACTCCAGAAACACACATATACCAAATGCTTGGTTCCTACAGCCCTATCGTATGTAAGCCTCAATATTAGAGTGGCATTGTTTAAATCTTCATGGAAAATTCTTTAAAAAATGATTCCTTGTGCTCTTAAATTACAGCAGAAGTACAAGGTCAATGAAAGCAGTCATGATTCTTTATGTTCAATTCTTCTCCTACTGTCTGCTCTGGGTAATAAAAGTAATTGTTTTAATACCTAACTTGGATCACACTCTACACGCACTGAAACCCTTCAATGGCTTCTCTTTGTATTCAGTTCTAGAAGTATCCAGGTACCAGATAAAATGCAGGAATTTCAAGTAAACTTTTTTTTTTTTTTTGGTGGTACTGGAGTTTGAACTCCAATGGAATATGGCCTCCACTCTTACAGGTGTCTGCCTCATTCACCCAGCCCTACATAAACCATCTCCTTGCATGTCCAAAAGCATGTCTAGTTCATTCCTGACTCAGGAGAACCACCTGAATTGCGGGCAGAAAAAAGGAACAAGGACATCCAATTAAATTTTAATCTCAGATGAACAACATCTTTTAACTTTTAGGATATGTTCCCTGAAGTATTTGTCCCATGTGATAGTGCAAGTCTGTGGTCCCAGCTACTCAAGAGGAAGAGGTAGGAGGATCATCACCCAAGGCTTACCCAGATCAAAGTGCAAGACCCCATGTGAGAAACAAACTAAAGCAGAAAGGGCTGGGGGCATGGCTCAAGTGATAAAATGCTTAGCAAGTGCAAGCCCCTCAGCTCAAACTCTAGTATCACCAAAAAAAATTGTTTATCTGAAATTCCTGCATTCTACCTGGTAACCCTATACTTCTAGACCTGAAACATGCTTCCTTCCAGAATGTTCCATGCCCTACTCTCTTATTTGCTTCCACATTATAATAAAATTTCTCCTT